ACACACACACACACACACACACACACACACACAAACAAACATATACATATATATATCACATATTTAGAGAACCGTGTTGGTTTGAGTGTTGTTGTATTAGGAATATTTCCTGCTAGAAGAAGGTCCAACTACAAGAACATGAAGGACTCAAGTTGAGTCCAACCGAAGATGTAAAGAAAACAAACAAGACCGATATATATATATGTCAACAAATGTATATATTGAACAACAAATTTACAAGTGAAAAAGACATTAACGTTTGTGTTTATGTGTGAACGTAAAGGGTTTTTATTTTGGTGAATGTTTGCATGTACGTGTATGTGAGTGCGTTTTTCATGGCGTTTTCCCACAAGCTTTTTCTTTTGACACCGCTATTACATATACTCCCTCTGTAATTTTTATTGTTAAAAAAACCCCCAAAACGGTGTATCAAATGGACGTTTTTTCTTTTGACACCGCTATTATGATATACTCCCCCAGTAATTTTTATTGTTAAAAAACCCCCAAAACGGTGTATCAAATGGACGTTTTTTCTTTTGATACCGCTACTACCATATATTCCACCTGTAATTTTTATTGTTTAATAACCCCAAAACGGTGTATGAAATGGACGTTTTTTCTTTTGACACCGCTATTATGATATACTCCCCCAGTAATTTTTATTGGTAAAAAACACCCAAAACGGTGTATCAAATGGACGTTTTTTCTTTAGATACCGCTATTACCATATACTCCCTCTGTAATTTTTATTGTTAACAGACCCCCAAAACGGTGTATCAAATGGACGTTTTTTCTTTTGATACCGCTTCTACCATATATTCCACCTGTAATTTTTATTGTTAAAAAACCCCAAAACGGTGTATCAAATGGACGTTTTTTCTTTTGATACCGCTATTACCATATACTCCCTCTGTAATTTTTATTGTTAAAAAAACCCCAAAACATTGTATCAAATGGACGTTTTTTTTGATACCGCTATTACCATATACTCCCTCTGTAATTTTTATTGTTAAAAAAACCCCAAAACGGTGTATCAAATGTACGTTTTTTCTTTTGATACCGCTATTACCTTATACTCCCTCTGTAATTTTTATTGTTAAAAAAAACCCAAAACGGTGTATCAAATGGACGTTTTTTCTTTTGATACCGCTATTACCTTATACTCCCTCTGTAATTTTTATTGTTAAAAAAACCCTAAAACGGTGTATCAAATGTAAGTTTTTTCTTTTGATACCATATTACCTTATACTCCCTCTGTAATTTTATTGTTAAAAAAAAAACCCCAAAACGGTGTATCAAATGGACGTTTTTTCTTTTGATACCGCTATTATATACTCCTGTAATTTTTATTGTTAAAAACCCCAAAACGGTGTATCAAATGGACGTTTTTTCTTTTGATACCGCTATTACCATATACTCCCTCTGTAATTTTTATTGTTAAAAAAACCCCAAAACGGTGTATCAAATGGACGTTTTTTCTTTTGATACCGCTATTACCATATACTCCCTCTGTAATGTTTATTGTTAAAAAAAACCCAAAACGGTGTATCAAATGGACGTTTTTTCTTTTGACACCGCTATTGCCATATACTCCCCCTGTAATTTTTATTGTCAACCACCCCCAAAAAAACGGTGTATCAAATGGTCGTTTTTTCTTTTGACACCGCTATTACCATATACTCCCTCTGTAATTTTTATTGTTAAAAAAAAAACCCAAAACGGTGTATCAAATGGACATTTTTTCTTTTGACACAGCTATTAGCATATACTCCCTCTGTAATTTTTATTTTTTGAAAAGCTATTTTAAAGTTTTTTAGTAAAAGTATTTTTGAAAATATAGTCTTAAAGAAAAAACTTTCGATTAATTTTTACAAGAATTTTTTCATTCAAAAAGTAAAAGAAAAAACAAGAAACGAATTAATAAGAATAATTTGTAAAGTTTTAAATCTTTTAAAATCCTGTATTAATTTTTAGCAGTTATCTAATATTATTATTAATAAAAAACTATATGTACTAATCATAAATGGAAAAGCTTACTACAATTTAGTGACCCTGTAGAGGATCGTGTGGGTTTGAGTGTTGTTGAGTTAGAAACACGTGCTTTTTATTTCCTGGTAGAAGAAGGACACGGTAGACTCAAGTTGAGTCCAACCGAATGTGTAAAGAAAACAAACAAGACCGATATATATATGTCAATAAATAAATGTATTAAACAACAAATTTACAAGTGACAAAGACATCAACATTTGTGTTTGTGTGTGAACGTAAAGAGTTTGTATATTGGTGAATGTTCGTACGTACGTGTGTGTGTGTGTTTCATGGCGTTTTCCCACAAGTGGACGAAAACGCGGACCTTTGCGAGAGATCACATTTTTAAATGTGTCCGCAGAAATGCAAATTCAATAGAGAACGAGGCAATAAATTGTCCAATATCTATAATGTAGGGAGAGCGTGCCCTAGTGACAATTGGGAAATTAAGGAGGAGTTAACTCCGACAACCATTTTAAAAGAATTTTGAATTAGTTTTATGTGCATATAAACGTGTCGAATTTTGTAAATAGGGATATCCATACCCGTCATTAGCAGAAAATAAGAGCAGTGCCTATGATAAATTTAAAATTTATTATAAAAATAATTTATCTCTTGTTTCCTGTTTAGGATTGGTTTGCCAATTCACTTCAACTCTATACTACCGGCTAATCTCTGAAATTTCATTTACTATTTATTTTCACTAGTAGCATGGCCCGGCGTTGCTCGTGATTGATTCAAAAATCGTACGACTCGTACAGCAATCGCTATCACTTGACTTAAAATATTTTTGCCCTTCCTTGCCTTTAAAGGCGTGCCCTTTGCCGTGCTGATGTTGCTACATGCCTTACTTCTTGCCTATCTCACACTGCGAATTTTTTCTATACTAAACATTAAATCTGTTACGAAAAATGAACTAAACAAAATATACCCAAAACGATCAGCTTTAAAAAAGGACTCGTAACTGGAAAAACCAAATGAAAAAAGAATGTTAACAACAAATAATTTTTCACATCCAACCTAGTTCTGCGGAATCAGAATCAACGTTGAGTTTAAGCAAGCGAATGAGCCAATTGGAGTAAAGTGCCATGCAGATTTAAATTTTTCCCACTTGTGACAAATGCAGCTATCGATTTTTTTGCATGCTAGTTAAAATTCGTGTCAGTCAGCTGTTGGCTCTCACGCTGGCCAATAGAATCTTCCTGCCTATTCGTGGCAGCCAGCTTTTGATATTCTCACCCTTACCATAAAAATGGCCACAAACTACATGAAAACTGTTGTTAGAAGCATGAAAGAATCGATTATTTCCACTATCAATGGGTTTTGACAAAATTTTCTCTTGGCCTTCACGGGGAAGGCCAAGACCGACTTTGTATTTCTTGGAGCATGTGCATGTAAATTTTGGTGCAAATCCGTCGAAAATTGCGGCCGTGCATTCGTTACACACATACACACATCCTGCCTTTTATAGATAGAGATATTTTTTTCTCAATATGAGTAGATAGGTTCGTTTATTTTCTAGATCATACTTCACCCCAATCTTTTGAATAGGAGTAGAAGTTTATCTCTCGTTTTCTGTTTAGAATTGGGCTTACGGTTACCTCTAAAGTCTACTCCAACTCTATACTTCTGAAGTCCGCCATTGGGAGTGCGTATCTTCGATTAATCAATGCCAGGTAGCGGGATTTCAAAGCATACAGAAGGCGCTTATGTTTCTTTGGTAGAGATGTCATATGAGTCACGTGACAGCCGTTTCGTGACGTCATTCGATATAGTGACAACAGCGGCAGTCAAAATCAGTTCGTTTTACAGCATTCAACAGAAATTTTGCTTTGTTTGTACCGGACTCTATGAGACGGGCAGAGGCTAAATCAGCCCCCTACCCAACAGTTTAAAAGTCCATGGTGCCATTTCAGTTCGGGAATATAGATTTCCCAGATCGTAATCCTCAATTTGCGAAAATCGAAGACTCTCTGTATCCCGTTCGTGAAATATGTCATCGCTAGGAACATAGATGTATCCAACTTGTTTGAATCTGGAGTCCTAAGCATAGCTTCTCCAGACAAAAGAGAATTTCCACATTATATGTGAACCCTTCCTTATGGGTTGAGTTGGATCTTTTCTAATTGATCTCTTTAGCTCTAAGTTGAAATGATGATCCTTCTTTCTATTGTGATCTCTTGATCCAATTTTCCTCTCTACTGTTCCCTCTTTTTTAAACTTATTCACCGTTCTCTTGATGGTTCTTGAAAAACCTTTAATATATATATTTATATATATATATATATATATATATATATATATATATATATATATATATATACAATCAATCTACATATACGGCCTCCTCTTACGTCCATACAACAATCTCACTCAGTAACGCTCTATCATGAGTGGCTCTAGGGCATTATATTGGGTAAACATTTAGCAAAGAAGCAGCATTTATGTGAACGTAAATGATAAATCCAGATCAGATTGAGGAGACACATCGACTCGGGGAATAGAATCGATTTTCATCTGGAGATGCATGGTTACATTTCGCATTAATGCCATGGTGAAAAACATGAAACAACTTCTCCATTACGACTGATAGACAAGAAGTAGTAGTTGAATCAGGAATCTCCCATAACTAACTTATCTCCACAGGCGGTAGTGGAAAGTAAGCTGCTAACTCCCTTGTTAACCTTGACAGAGGTTAAGCACAAATAATTGGGTCAGAACGGGTTTAGATAGATGAGCAGCTAACGGTAAGTGGCTGAATGAATTGATGGCCAGAAAGGGTTGGGGTGAGATCGATTAGGTGCATTGATATCCCGATAGAAAGATTAATTGATGATTGAATAAGTTAACTAGAAGTGATTGTTGAAAAAGATAAAGTTGTCCGGATGTAAAGCGAACAATTACAATAAAAAAAAAAAAGTTGTATAAATAAATGCATTTAAACCGCCCATACAAAAAATGGCTATCCTGTTTCATGTAACTCGAAGATTCCAGAAAAAAAGATTCCAGAAAAAAAAAAAAGAGAGAAAAAAAAAAAAAAAGAGAGAGAGAGAGAGGAAATTTGTAGAGAGAGAGAGAGAGAGAGAGATCGAATTAGGGAATGCTGTTGAGTAGAAAGAAAACACAGACAGGAGAAAAGGGAGAGAAGTCACAGTGAGAGATGAGAGAGAGAGAGCTGGAAAGAGATGGAGAGAGAGGGAAAGGGTTGACAGACTGAGAGCATTAGGGAATAATAAAGAGTCTGAAATAAGTCACAGACTTGGAGACAATGTCTCCTTGACAGACTGAGAGCATAAGGGAATAAGAAAGAGATAGAAAGAAGAACAGAGAGAGACAGAGAGAAAAGATGGAGAGAGAAGGAGAGAGAGGTTGACAGACTGAGAGCATTAGAGAATAAGAAAGAATAGAAAGAAGTCACAGAGAGAGAGAGAGAGAGAGAGAGAGAGAGAGAGAGATGGAGAGATAAGGTGAGAGAGGTTGACAGACTGAGAGCATCAGGAAATAAGAAAGAGTAGAAAGAAGTCACAGAGAGAGAGAGAGAGAGAGAGAGAAAAACTGGGAGAGAGGAGAGAGGAAAAAAAATGATGGGATGAAAGAAAGACTAGTGTAAAGAGAGAGAGAGAGAGAGGGGGTGATGATGTGAGAGAGAGAATCAAAATTGAATAGAAAAGATGAGGGAAAGTGACAGAGATGGAAAAATGAGTGCGAGGAAGGAAAGGCAAAAGTGGATAGGCAAGAGAGGAAGGCAGAAGGAGAATGGAAGAGGGTGAACGGACTAAAATGTAAAGGAAATAGAGAGAGAGAGAGAGAGAGAAAGAGGAAGTAACAGAGGTAAGAGAAAGAGAGATGAGGGTGAAAGAAAGGAGGAGGAGAAGGAGCAAAATAAAAGAAAAGAAAAGGAAAGGAAATGAGAGAAAGAGTAATAAAGTCATAACGAAGAGAGAATAAAAACGTGGAATGAAGCAAAGAAGAAAAAGAGAGAATGAGAGAGAGAGAGATTGAGAGAGAGAGAGAGAGAGAGAAATTAGATTGTAAAAATAATTCTTTGTTTTTTCGAGTGAACAATTTTTGAGAATAACAATGTTTCCAGTTAGAAGTCCTACTATTTAAAATGTAACTTGAGGGGTGGGGAGTATTTGTGCGTAAGTGAATATAAAAAACTCGATTGGAATTCGAACACAGCTCTCCGACATATCGTTCCGAGCCGTTATGCATTAGACCACCGATACATCACAGATAGATAGATAATGGAAAGACTGGGATAGATAGATAGATAATGAAGAGACTGGGATAGATAGATAGATAGATAGATAGATAGATAGATAGATAGATAGATAGATAATGGAGAGACTGAGATAGATAGAAAGATAATGAAGAGACTGGGATAGATAGATAGATAGATAGATAGATAGATAGATAGATAGATAGATAGATAGATATAACTCCTGACTGTTTAGCATAAAACTGCTTATAATTGAGAGCCAACCCTAATTTAACGCTGGTCGGCCGGATGCTAAATGAACATACTTGTGCGCATGTCTGTTAGTAAAAGAATACACAACGTTACATTCAAGAGCAAAAGGGACCCCTGGTGCGTATGCGTTAAAGAAATGAGTCGGTCATGTCAGTTCGTGTTACTTTCTATTTGACTTTATCCAGTTGGAGATTGATGAAGTCATCGGCTGATGGTAATCGGTTCGCTTGCCTGCTTTTTAGTTACGGTCTTATTCATGTGAATTGACACGCATGCGCAACATAGTCTTCAGTTAAACACACACAAACGCAAACACACACACTCACACATGAATAAAAACCTGTATACACAGAAAGTCATTTACATATAAAGTGTAATTTCCTTTCATTTATACAACACGTAAACAAAAGCGTCGACGTCTACGGGAGATATGAAAGAATTAATTTGTATACAGATGTATTTATTTATGGAAAAAACTTTAGTCTGGCATCAAACATTCATTAAGGTTCCAACTCCACTGCACCAATGCTATGACCTTTCAAGAAAAGCTTATTAACCATTATCGCTTGAGACTAAATTTTTTCACCATCGTCCCAAAACCGTGCAGAAAAACAACTGTAATTGTTCCGAATATATATATATATATATATATATATATATATATATATATATATATATATATATACTAGCAGTAGAGCCTGGCGTTGCCCGGCGATATAACAGTAAGAGATAGATCAAGTATCGACCATCATAAAGACTGAAAATAAAATTGACAAAGATTATTGTTTAAGGTTGACGGACACGGATGTCTTAATTATTTTTTTTTTTTTATTTTTGGTCAAACCCAAACTCAAGCAAGAACATTGTTTTCAATCGTTATGAGTCTACCAATTGAATAGAATTTTATTATAAACAATTGTCTTGTAAAGGGAATTTTTAAAGCATTCTGAATGTAAAAATAAAGAAAAAAGTGTGCAAGACAATAAGAAACACTACCTGCTAAAAAAAAAGTGAAATTTTGTTGAAATCGGTTGAAAAATGTAGGAAATCCGATCCCATATATATACGAACACACACACACAAACAACCTGGGTTTTATAATAAGTATAACTCGATATGAGTTGTCCCCCTTTCATTCTCGCGATGCCTCTTAATCGTATTTTCAAATTGATTTCGTGCAAAAACAATTGTGTTTTTCCAATTTTTGGCGCTGTCAGAACTACCGCAAGGTAATTTTACGTAGTCCCGTGAAGTTTTGTTGAAATCGGTTGAAAATGTAGGAAATCCGATCCAATATATAAACGTACACACACACACACACACACACACACACACACACACACACACACACACACACACACACACACACAACCTGGGTTTTATAATAACTATGATATATATATATATATACCCTTTCCAAGTGTATTATTCTTCTCCCTCCAGCTATGGGTAAATAGCAGGACAGATTGGGTTCTATAGCCTTGGATGGCAACTGGTCTAGGAGATGAAAAACTCTGAATTCAAAACCTGCGGAGGATTGTTTAGGGACATTGTGGCACGTAGTGCACCAGGTCTCTATATTCGGCCCTTCAAAAAGTGTGATTGATTCTGCACAAAGCCTTCACCACTATAATAAAATCATATGTGCTTTTGTCTGGTTGTCTGTTCCTAGGAATGGAGTTGCTTGACCCTCATACGTCGAATACGACGGGAGAGTCCATCATATAATGGGGAGGAAAACTCATGACAGCTTAACCCGGTCATTATATTGCATGTGTTTGCCGAAAGGCGTGTACTGGCTGGTATTGATTGTGATCCGGAGAGCTTAAAATCCGCGATAATAACACATGAGGAACTGTCGTTCGGAGTTTCCGTGGCAAGTCTTTTGCACCATTACTTTTTTATCGTTAGATTCAAAAAAGTGTGGATTGTCCGACACAAGCCTTCGTCACTTGAAACAAATCATTGTGTTGGTTTTCTGACAACTACATCCAATTAGTTCCACACATATCCGGCTATTGCGAAAAACTCTACGAAACAACATCAATTTCATCTTGGCACTTGGAATGTACGAACTCTCCAGGACTCTCCAGGACAACAACCCAGCACCAGAAACAGCCCTGGTCGCATTGGAGCGAAGAAGTACAACATATATATATATAGCTGCACTGAGAAGTAACCATCAGGGGATTACATGAAACGAGAAAGCAAAGTAAAATATCTAACAGTGTTCCTGCTGCACTTGGATACAATACATTCTCGAGTGCTGTTTGTGGTTTTTTGTGCAACTCACGAGCCGGTTTCAAAAGTCATGCCCGTCATAGGCATGCAGATAATTAATTTGTGGTTGTCAGACCTCATATATCGAATTCGATGGAGAGTCCATTATATATATATATATATATATATATATATATATATATATATATATATATATATATATATATAGAGAGAGAGAGAGAGAGAGAGAGTGATTGAAAAGTAACTGTCTAATTTTATGTATAATGGACTCTCCTATAATTTTTGCAAGACGGGAGATTCCATCATACATTAAATAGGAAGTTACTTTTCAATCACCCTATACATATGGAAAAAAAATGAAATCATCACGAAATCAAAATGTTTGTTTTTTATTTTTTTATATGCTAGTGATGTCATAGAAGCACCATTAACACCATTAACACCATTTATAGTTGCTAGTGACGTCATTAAAACACCATTAATTGTTGCTAGTGACGTCATAAAAACGCCATTAATACTTTCTAGTGACATCATAAAAACACCATTGTCTCTTAGTGACGTCATAAAAACCATCAATACTTGCTAGTGCCGTCATAAAAACACCATTAAAAACACTAGTGATGTTCAACCTGCTTTTAGTCGTAATCTATGTAACAAATTCATGGATCGGCATTACAAGTCACAAGATACTGATAATAATTCAACAAGTTTTATGCTTGTTTACAAAAGCCCCGATTCTATTTGCACGATGGAGAGGCGGGAAATAGAGAAGTAACTGCTTTCTCAGAAAAAATGCCCGCCTGGGGCCTTTATTCAGCCTAACATCAGTAGATGGCAAATCGGTGGATATCCCCGTAATTTCTCGCAGGCACCGGGCGTCAAAAGCTGTGGTTTAAATTGTAGGTCCATCGCTGGATAAAGAATTCATTAGAGACGCGATCATCGCCAAGGAAATCAACATTAAAGCCAGGGAAGTGCCCGCTTTCAGACGGGGTCGACATTCCACAATATAAAGATCATCTTGGAGAAGACACTTCGTCCCATTTACGGTGTTCTTAGGTTGGATGCTAGATAACAAACCAACGCCCCAACCTAAGGTGAAAACATATGATGAAGAGAGTCTGAGCTGAATGTCTGTAATGTCTACGGGTCCACAGTTGCGCAGGGTTTATGCATGAAGTACACCAAAATATTTTGACATTTTCTAAAATACACCGGAAGAAAAATTGGGAAGGAACCAATGTTAGACAAAGTTTCCAAACTTAGTGCCAGTCTAGCTCAGGGATTATCAAACCGAGTATGAGTGAACCCCTAGGTGTCGGTGAGGAGTTCCAGGATGTCGATGATAATCAAAGTTCGAATAGGGTAAAACTTGCACAACAATACCAAACCCAACCAATTTATCTCTACTAAAATCGGTCTTTAATATTTTCTACTTGAGATGGTTTAATATATTCCATGGATTTTTGTATCCAAGGCATTTTTACCCTGTATATTGGCTGCTTGATCGCATACTTAACCACAACTCTCATAATATCTTTTAAAGAAGTGTCAAACCCATCAAAAAAAGGCTCTGTTTTGATAATGCTATATTTTTTTGAATGAAGCACATGCTATTTTTATACATCAACAAGCATCTTTGTGCTTTTTATAGAGCACTAATTTCAAAGTTTCTTTACATTTGAGGCAATTCACTCCCGGTTTTAACCATCTTCTTTGCATACAATATCTTATTAATTGGATATTTGTAGCAGTTATGCATTTCTATTCAATAGCATTAGCTGTATTTAGCGTTGGTGTACTTAATATATTATTTGCTTGATTCATTTGGGTTATCTATCTATTTGAATAAATGCGAAATTAGAGCTCAATTCTCCCACGAATTCTGGGGTTAAAAAGTCCCAAATAATTTGCATATTGATTTTAAAAATGTGTATTTCATTAATTAAGTGTTCCTTTAATATTCTTTATTCGAGGATTGTTTTGATTTTCATATCAAAAATAGTTCTGTTGAAGAATAGTGGGTTATATAATGCAGCAAAGTGTTTGAAATTAATATTTTACTTAGCCTTCAACAAGTTGGTATCTATTTGTAAAACTTTCCTTAACTATAACAAGCCTGCCCTTACACCCAACTAATTAATTTCTTCTGTCTTTACAGTCATATTCTTTGAACAAATATACTGAATGTCCACAATCTCTTCAACGTTTCAATTAATCCCTTATAAAACAACTAATTTTTTCTAGAAAAAATACCAGATAGCGTGCTCGTCTTGAGTATGACAATAAACTACATCCGCGTCCTGGGTAAGACGATGAACTACATACGCGTTCTAGGTAAGACGATAAACTATATCCGCGTCCTGGGTAAGACGATAAACTATGTCCAACAGCAAGGTCTCTGATTTGGAGGGTTTGAGGAGCATAGAACCACCTCTTAATTGCTGGTGTTCCCAGGTCCAACCTGACTCGGGGTGGCAGCACCCGTTAGGGTCCCAGTTGTGGGCAAATTGTTAACCTCCAAACTGGAGTCAAAACACAATGAAAGTATAAAAATAGGTTGTAATACTCGAAATACTTTATAAAAAAATTATTACCAGCGATACATATTTGAAGGAAAATTATTACTAGAAATAGATTTTTAAAAAAGAATTATTACCAGAAATATATTTTTGAAAAAAATATTATCAACAATAAAAATTTCGTCGGCATTAAATAACCCATGTTGATATGCCGTAAAACAAAATAAACCAAACCAATCTAAACCAAAGAATACATATTCTATTCATACAAATCTATCCTAAAAATGTTGTCGGCATTAAATAACCCATTGAGGTTGATATGCCGTAAAACAAAATAAACCAAATCAATCTAAACCAAAGAATACATATTCTATTCATACGAAACTATCCTAAAAATGTTGTCGGCATTAAATAACCCATTGAAGTTGATATGCCGTAAAACAAAATAAATCAATCCAATCTAAACCAAAGAATACATATTCTATTCACACGAATCTATCCTAAAAATGTTGTCGGCATTAAATAACCCATTGAGGTTGATATGCCGTAAAACAAAATAAACCAAACCAAACCAAACCAATCTAAACCAAAGAATACATACTCTATTCATACGATCCTATCCAAAAAATTTTGTCGGCATTAAATAACCCATTGAGGTTGATATAACATAAAACAAAACAAAAAAAAAAAACTAAACCAGATAGCGAGCGGGCGAAAAATGCTAGTTTAATATATTTTCTAAAACATATTTTTTGTGGAAAATTCTGAATCTAATGACGCTTTCAATTTTGAACCTGATCCAAATTTCTTAACGTTTCATGCATTTTAGTTAACATTTTAATTGCCAACATACGTGCGAGTTTTAAGGTTCAAAGATATTTTAAATGGGAGTCGCTGCAGAAGGAAGAGAGACAAAAGGAGGTCTCCGATCGAAAACGTTTGACGACCTCTGAACTCTAGGCGCAGCTCGTCTCTACCTATTAAAGTGACCGCAGTTATCATTACGAGAAGCCAGCAATAATCATCGACAGAGAGACTATGAAAATGAGGTATTCGCAGACCTGTTTCTCGGATCTTTGGCTTGGGTCCGGGTTTGGAGGTGGGACAGGAGAATAATAAATAGAAGGACATGGCTCAGGTTGTGACAGGTTTCATATGGAAGCAGGATCTTTGGCTAATGATATTTATTTCGATTTTGGATTTTCTTTATCCTCTCTTTCTCAGTTAAATAAAGGTTTCAAAGATCCACACGCGAGTCTGTCATCTTAGAACCATAAAACTCATGAATATGCGCAGAACACACACTGAATATAAAAGGACCCTTTCCATATATATATATATATATATATATATATATATATATATATATATATATATATATATATGTGTGTGTGTGTGTGTGTGTGTATATATATATAACCAAGTATAGGATTGGTGTATGCGGAATAAATTCCAATAACCAACAAATACCATTCGTAAAAGAGTGCTCAATACATAGTAGAGCAAATATACATTCAACACCATCACTTGATAAGACACCAGATGTGTTGAAACAAAATGGCTATTTTTGTAGTGATTTTATAACACGTTTATGCTATAATTTTCGAATAAATAATTATATATATATATATTAAATGCGGCTGGAGCCGCTTGTGAATCAATTACCACTGAAACTATCATTTGCTGCACGACTGAACGAATACTACCTCTGCTACGCTCGGTCAACTTTCGTTCGATTGCGGCGTCAAAAAATGGCCCATTTTATCATAGAGAACTAACATATATATATATATATATATATATATATATATATATATATATATATATATATATATATATATATATATATATATATATATATATATATATATATATATATATATATATATATGTGATTTTCATATCAAAAATAGTTCTGTTTAGAATATTGTCTTATAGTGATTTTCCAAGCGTAGCTTAGATGTATATTGAAATTTTGAGGGGGGAACCCCTTGAGGATCGAACTCACTACTCAGTCGTAATTGTTCTAGCGAGCCAAGCTTGCTAACCATTACACCGCCTCGAGTTGCCCCAGGGAATATTGTCTTATATAGTGCAGCAGTGTTTGAAATTTGTATTTTACTTGGCCTTCAACAAGTTGGTATCTATTTGTAAAACTTTCTATAACTATAACTAGCCTGCCCCCACACTCGACCGATTAATTTCTTCTGCCTTTACAGTCATATTCGTAGAATATATATATCGTACGTCCACGATCCCTTCAACATTTCAATTAATCCCTTATAAAATAACTAATTTTCCTTAGAAAAATTACCAGATAGCGAGCGGTCGAATAATATTAGTTTAATATATTTTCTTAAATATATTTTTTGTAGAAATTTCTGAACCTGATGAGGCTTTGAATTTTCAACATGATCCAAATTTCTTAACGTTTCCTGCATTTTAGTTAACATTTTAATTAATTAATTTTAATTTTATATATATATATATATATATATATATATATATATATATATATATATATATAACAGTAAAATTGTCCAAATCGTGTAACAGCAAAAATTGTCAAGTATTTGATTATGCTTTAAACCGTTGTATCTTATAAATGATTAAAGATATATTACTGGAATACCCCGAGGTTTTTATAACACTGTTGGACTGTACTTTGAACAATAAGAATGTATTTAGCTCTAAGTTGAAATGATGATCCCTCTTTTTGTTGTGATCTCTTGATCCAGTTTTGCTCTCTGTTGTTCGAACTTTTTAAAACTTATTCACCGTTCTCTTGATGATTCTTGAATGAACTTTGAAGATGGAAGCCAGCATATGAATGCTGGTACCATTACTGAAGGCCTGAATGATCTTTTTTGCTCTCACCATTGCTCGGTTGGGAAGACATAATTGGGCTGAAACAAAACGGTTTTAATATGTTATCTTTCTAGCTGAATAACTCAAAGGGTTTTTTTTTCAGTGATTCTTACGACAAATGGTGTCAAGATGGCGAAATGTCTTCTCTGAAAACCTGAAAATAAGAAACTCAGTTTAGTGTGATTTTTAGATATCAAACATTTTATGGGATGGCCAATTATCCCATTCTATTACAAGATTTGGGCAATTTTGCTGTTTTAACCCATATATATATATATATATATATATATATATATATATATATATATATATATATGGCCCTATAAATATATAGGGCACTCTGACGTGGTGTAATGTTTAGCAAGCTTATCTCGCTAGATCAGTTACAACTGATTAGTGAGTTTAATCTTCATTGGATACCTCATACTTATGGCCTTGTGCTTAGTATATATATATATATATATATATATATATATATATATATATATATATATATATATATATATTCATCTGATTAGCTGAAAAGACTAGGTAAATAACGGACATCTTCCATAAGGTACCTAGGTTTGGTAAGTTATGGAGGTCGCTAAGCGTCCCCCATAAGTTATCTAGACTTTTCAGATAAGCTGTGCGATATTTATGAAGCTTACTTTAATTTAAGAATTTTGAGAAACTCACAAAATTTTTGCTCTTGTATACAAATAACTTTTTACAAAATAAAATCTTTGTATATGTCTTGATAAAATCTTACAGAGGACGAGACGCGTCGGCTAAGGTGAGTTTTCCCTTTGCCTTTATTTATATTCTCCTTTTACAGATATATTCTGTCTGAAATTTTACACACACACAGACACAAACACAAACACACACACACACACATATATATATATACTTTTACTCGTAGTCTGAAGACTGCATTGATGCGTGCAACTGACAGTCATCAGGCAGTGTTGATTCCTATGTCCGCATTGTCGATATCTATAAATGTTCTGTGGAACTTTTTCGGTAAGATAGTAAAATTGTTTCTTATCTTCTCTACGGTTTTGAATTCAGAGTTGTCATTCAAGTATAGAGAGCACTATCTACCTGTGTATTTAATCCATAATTAGGGAGTGGTTGATAGAAAATAGTCTTTTTGTTGGGTTTGGTTGGGTTTGGTGTGATTGGTGGATTTGACGACATATCAACTCTTTGGTTATTTCCTGTCGAAATTGGTTTTCTTTAAAAATTGTAAATGAGTCTATAAGTGAAAATTTGTCGTCTTTACACTTGATTCAATAGGCAAGCATGGCCTAGTTTATACTTGAGTCAACAGGCAAACATTGGCAAGTTTATACTTGAGTCTATTGGTCGGGTTTATACTTGAGACTATAGGCAAACATTGATCGGCTTTGTACTTGTGTCAATAGGCAAACGTTGGCAAGAATTTTTACTTGAGTCTATAGGCAAATATTGATCAGGTATATACTTTCTATAGTTAAATATAGGTTCTGTTTATACTTGAGTTTATAGCTAAACCTTGGTCGATTTTATGCTTGGAGCTTATTGAGTTAGTCAGATTTATACTTAAGTCTGTAGCGTTGTTATCTAATCCCTAAAGCAGGGCTTCTCAAACCGGGAAACACATACGCCTAGGAGTGCGCGAGAAAGATTCAGCTTGTACAAGTATCTCACCTTCTCGGCACTTTATCCCATTTTTTTCAAGAAGTTTGTAAACTTCGGCCATTTTCCTGATAGAACGATTCCCTCTTAGATTATCAACACATTCGGAATACTTCCAGACAATTTGAAAGATGAATTTACGTGTCTTTAACCGATTTAAGATTGTAGTTTAAAGACAGTAAAATCGATCTTGCTAATCGAACGCTCCTCTGTGTCCAAATCGGTAAAAGCACGTCAGGCTATATGACGGTTCCGTATAGGATACAGGTTCGTTTTCTGTAGGAGGACGAAAATTTTCTATGAAAATTTCTCGGATATTCAGGCCGGTAAATGTTATTAATACTGTTTATTATAAACAGAGCATTTACTTAAATATTTGTATCTATAAAAAGAATGTATAAACATAAAAAATGTCTTAAAATAATTGTCTGATTTTGTCTATTTCATAATGTGTAACATTAGAAATGTTCATTTTCACTTTCACTCTTAAAAGATAATTCAATGATATCAAAAAAGTCAGCCACATTTAAAAATCTCATTAATGGTATGGCATCCCTCCCTAAAACCTCAAAAAACAAAAAAACAAAAAGTAAAACAACAACAAATTTACAAGCTTATCAGTGATCACAAATTAAAGCAGGTCTTACTGATAGAATAGAGTTATATGTAAATATGATTTTATTATAGAAATGCATTGAAATAGGTTTGTTACAGTCAGGAATTAATGTAAGTATTATTGCCAGAATAAAGCTATTATATATGTTGATCACTCTCTCTATATATAATCTATCTGCTGTTAAAGTTTTGGTGTCTCATGGCAAAATCATACGTAACAGTACAAAAATGTGTAGAAAGCCGCCTGCTGTTCCCATTCACTTTGACTTAAGTGTTGTTAAGAAGGTTTTTTCAGCAATGTGTGGGATGAAAACCAAATTTTACAGGCGACAAACATAAACCCTGATTTATCCCAATCAATAGCAGAAGTCAAGCAGAGTTACAGTGGTTTTGATTAAAATTAAACAGCTATTATTATTATTATTAATATTATCTTTATTTTATTTCTTTTGATTTCTGATGTGTACTCATTTCTTTCCGGGTCCCTAAGGTTAGAAATGGCATCATGACATTTTCCCCTGACAAAAAAAAACAAAAAAAAAAAAAAATTTACATAGACAAAGTCCTTCGTAAGGTGTGGACTGTACTCACGAGAACAATTTTTTGTATTTTTTTAAGGCATGGGCTTCCAGGGATCCCTTCAATTAGTCTACTGGAATATTGCTCTAGCTACAACAGGGATTGTTGATGTTCCCATGTGCCACATTTTTGAGATTTCGAATACAAGGTCCATGTATTTTCATAGCTTTTTGAAGATCTTCAAAGATACATTGCAGTCTGCAGGTACTGTCATATTATTATTATTATTTTTATTTTCTTTGATTTCTGGCGTTTACACATTTCTTTCCGGGGCCCGCCCAGGGACCTAAGGTTAGATATGGCGTCATGACACTTTCCACTGACAAAAAAAAAAAAAAAAAAAATGATTACATAGATAAAGCCCTTCGTAAGGTGTGGGCTGTACTTGTCAGAACAATTTTCTGTAT